GTCTCTGACGCTGGGAGATTGAATTCTGACTTGCCTTCCAGGCATGTCAAATGCTGAACATGCAAATGTGACGGTTAAAATCATCACTAAAAGGAAATGTATGCCCTGGTATTTCTGATAACTTCCCTGTGCAGGTCCTGTGTGACTTGTGAGACCAGAGGATTCTTGGAGTGTTCAGAGGATACCTGGATTTTGTAGGCAGGCAGGTGTGCCAGGTATACTGCTGGTATTTACACTGAGGTGCTGCTGGCTTGGATTTATGGAGCAGGACCTGCTTTCCTCAGGTAAATGCAACCAGAGTCTTTCAGTAGCCAGCATGAGTTGGAAATTAAAGCAACACTAAAAGACTCTGGAAACGCTCCCCCTGGGCACTGTTACCCCAGAAGCCTTAAGCCTTTTGTCCCCCCCAGAACAGCACTGGGAGCTGAGTGTGATTCAGACTGTAGAGGAAATGGATTGATGCTGAAGTGCCTTAATGTGCTGGAGAAACCCTCTGCCCTCACTGTGCTTTGTGCCTAATGCATCTGCTGGCAGGTGAGGAGCTGCTGCTCCTTCTCGCAGCCTTTTAGAGCCATCCCAAACAATCCTGGGGAGCCCTGAATGTCTGTGGCCCCTGCCAGAGCTTCCAAGAGCCTCTGTGCCCCTGGGGACACACCTCTGGCTTGGCTCTCTGCTGCTTGACTGGGAGAAAGCCATACTGGTCCTAATGTGGGGGGATGACACAGAGAGCTCTTCCTGCAAGGCAGTGGCCACTCGAGCTTTGTTGTAGCCCTGCTCCTCTGCAAGTAATGGGATTCCTACATAAATCAGTGAGGGATAAGTTTCACTGCACCACAACCCCCCTAAACCATAGTGACAACTTTACAGTCCCGAGCCCTGGCTTGTGACAGTGCTGTGGTGCTGAGGGTGGAACTTTGTTTGTTTTCAGCTTGAGTTAAGAGCAAGGTACTAAGCTGTAACAGGGAAAAATCCTCCTGAAACTTGTGCTGTTAGGTTGTTCTTGGTTCACGTTGGGGCTGCGAGCCCTGGGTGTGGCAGAAATGCTTTTTTGTTATTCCTTTGTGTTAAATTTCAAGACCAAATCTGTTTTGTTTTTAGTGTTTGGCCACCACGGGTGATGGTGGCAACGAAATTGGTTGGTTTGTCCTGAGCTGCTCTCCCTGTGTCTGGTGTGTTACGTGTCTGGCTGTGTCTGTCCCCAGGCTGCTGGTGCCATGTACTGAGGGAGCACATTTCCAAGGCTATTCCTTGAAGCCATTTGTCCTGTCTGCCAGGAGCTCTGCTGTCTCCTGCAGGTTCTCAGGGTGCTGTTGAGCACCATCCCCTTTGCTTTGGGGTGCAAGATCCAGTTCCCAGGTGCTGTGTGAGGACATGTTTGCCCTCTGCCCCTGCAGAGCTGGTTGTGAGATGATATTGTGGCTGAAACCACCTTGGCTGATGCTTTTGGAGCATCACCCTTGGCCATGTGCCTGTAGTTGGGCTGCCCTGGTCGTGTGTTCCCCTCCATGGGGATGTGTCCCCTCATCATCCTCCTGCACAGCTGAGCTCATTTGGCTAAGAGGGTGATCCCAAGTGCCCTTTGCTGCTGGTGCACAGGAAATCTTGGACCCTTCACTACTGAACACCCCAGGCCAGGGGGGGCAGGATGGTGTTCCCTCCCTGTCCCACCTTCCTGCCCCATCCCCTTGTCCCGCGCGTGTCCCCCCCCTCCGGTTCCCCACTGCCCGGTCCCGTTGGGCTCAGTGTGTTTGTACCAGCCTGTGTCTTGTTGCTTGTTTGTACCGAATATTTTGATTATAAAATAAAGCTGCTCTGACCCACCCGTGCGAGGCTGTGCAGCGTGGGGAGGGGGGAGCTCACCGGGGCCGGTACCCGATGCCTGGTAGGGGCGGTGGCTCCCCAGGGCCAGTGCCCGGGCCGGTACCCGGGGGGGGGCGGTGGCAGTGAGTTCTCATTCCCGGTTCCCGGTGCCGGTGGGGGCGGTGTTGGTGAGTTCTCATTCCCGTGCCCGGTTCCCGGTGCCGGTAGGGGCGGTGTTGGTGAGTTCTCATTCCCGTTCCCGGTGCCGGTGGGGGCGGTGGCGGTGAGTTCTCATTCCCGTTCCCGGTTCCCGGTTGCCGGTGGGGGCGGTGAGTTCTCATTCCCGTTCCCGGTTCCCGGTGCCGGTGGGGGCGGTGAGTTCTCATTCCCGTTCCCGGTTCCCGGTGCCGGTGGGGGCGGTGAGTTCTCATTCCCGTTCCCGGTTCCCGGTGCCGGTGGGGGCGGTGAGTTCTCATTCCCGTTCCCGGTTCCCGGTGCCGGTGGGGGCGGTGAGTTCTCATTCCCGTTCCCGGTTCCCGGTGCCGGTGGGGGCGGTGAGTTCTCATTCCCGTTCCCGGTTCCCGGTGCCGGTAGGGGCGGCGGCTCCCGGGCCGGCCCCGCAGAGCCCGCATGCCCGCGCCCGCCGGCCCCATTGGCCCCCGCAGTCACATGCCGGGCGGTGGCGGGGCCGCCCGCTCCGCCCTCCCTCGGTCCCTCCCGCCCAGCCGAGCCCAGCCGAGCCTCCCTCCGCCGGGCTGAGCGCAGGGAGCGGCCGCGATCGCACCATGAGCACCCTCAAGGTCTACAGCACCTCGGTGACCGGCTCCCGGGAGGTGAGCGGCGGCGGGGCCCCCGGGGTTCCCGCGGGCAGGGGTGGGTGCGGCGGGGCCCCTCTTCCCGGGGGTGGGCGTCTCTTCCGTGGAGCTGCGAAGCGTCCCCCCCCCGCCCTATCCCAGGGGTCCCCTCCCTTGCTCTCGCCGCACCGGCCCCTTCATCCCCCAAACCCATCCCTCCCTGCTGGGCGTCCCCCCCGTGGCCAGGTGGGGTCTGCACCGTGAGCGCTGTGCTGAGCGTGGCTGGCGCGCTGGGGTGTGCACCCACCCTGCACTCACCCTCCGGGCCCTTTTCCGTCTCCCCTTAACCTGCCTTTCCCACCCGGGCTCCAGATCAAATCCCAACAGAGCGAAGTAACCAGAATCCTCGATGGGAAAAACATCAAGTACGAGCTGGTGGATATCTCCCAGGACAACGCTCTCCGGGAGGAGATGAGGGCAAAGGCAGGCAACCCCAAAGCCATCCCACCCCAGATCGTCAACGGAGACCAGTACTGTGGGGTGAGGCTCCCGCTCCGTGCTGGGGATCAGCACCCTGAGGTTGGGTGGTGGGTGACAGTCCCGTCCCCTTGGTTTTGCTACAAAGGGTGTCAAGGCACCCTGGGAGTTATTTCTCGTGAGGTGCACAGACAAGGTGCTGTCAGGATTCATGGCCATTTGGAGTGCCGTGCCTTGGGGGAAAAAGGGGACGTGGGCAGGGGTCTTTGGGTGACCGTGGGCTGTGCTGTGTGGCGCTGTCCCTGCTTTGCTCTGTCATCCTTGGCACAACCAACTGGTCCCTGTGCTGTGAACCAGTTTGTGCCACGTTCTCAGGGGACCCTCTTGCCTTGTGAGCGACCGTGTGGCTTTTCCCTGCAGGATTACGAGCTCTTTGTGGAAGCAGTGGAGCAAAACACTCTGCAGGAGTTCCTGAAGCTGGCCTGAGCCCCGGCTCCTCTCCCTTCCTGGACTCTACCTGCATTCCTGAGCACCCTCATCTCCGACCACCTTCACTTCCAGGTTGTCAGCGCTGTCCTGGCACCACGACCTGTATTCCCGGCACAGGGAAACAAACCCATGACCAAAACTCATTGCAGCTGCCTCCGATTCCCTCCTGCCTAACCCCGACATCATCTCAGAGGGATCCAAAGAAAGTCTGACGCTCGCTGCGCACGGCCTGTGAGCAGAGCCGGGCCTGGCTCACCGCAGCTTCCAGTGCCTCTGTAAACAGCAAAGCCTCTGGGGCGTGTGAAGTGCAGGGCGGCCGTCAGCCCCCTCCTCTGCCTCGGGAGGGAAGGGCTTAGGGCTGCATGTTACTTCCCACTTCTCCTCATTGCTGTTAAAATTGTAAATTCCGCTGCCTCACTTCCTTTTTTTTTTTTTTCTTTCCCTTTTTTCCCCCCGTTTTCATCTCGACTGTAGACATTATGGCAACTAAGTAAATTTTTTTTTTTGTTTGTCTTAATTTAATGCAAAAATACTGCACAGAGTTGGGGTCTGACCACCCACCGTGGAGGAGCTGGGGGCGAAGGCTGAGATCTGTGGCATCTGTGCTGCCTGGGGGGATGGATGGGGCTGGAAGGGAGATCTGTGCTGTTCTGGCCACCCTCCACCATGACCAGGGCTCCCTCGTGAGCATTAGTGGCTCAGGGCTGCCCCAGACCAGCTGATGCTCCAGCTGTCTGCTCTTTGAGTTGGCTTTTTTGCAATCCTGGACCAAGTGCATTTTGTTTTCCTGCCAAAAAGCAAGTTTATAACCAGTGTTGTCTTCCGAGATGCTATTAAATGTTACTGTACCTTTCACGTTGGTGCTCCTGCGTTCCTTTTAAATCTGGTTTTATTTTGGCTACAGGTTAAACATCACCCTACGTAATGATTCTGAGTCATTTCCAAGTCGGTTGTACTCGCTGCTGCAGCCTGACACAAAGATCTTAACACCTTAGATTGCTGCTGCTAATCAAAGGCTCACAGGACTTGTCTGAATGTCCCACGGCGTGGTAGTGACAGGTTCCTCACTCGAACATTCCTCTCCTCTGCGTGGTGAGAGCAACAGCCCGAGGCAGGGACAGCTTCAGCCAGACACGTGAGCAAAAAACAACCCCCTGGCACAAAGATTACCTGGCTGGTTATAGACCAGGAGACAGAGGGGCAGAGGAAAAGGCTGCCCCTGGATCTACTACAGGTGGAAAAAGGAGGAAGCTGAGTGAGAGCTGTGTGGGTTGAGTCACTGGTCACGGGAAGCTGGTGGAAGCAGCTGGTTTGCTTCCTGCATTTGAGCTGTGCAGGGTCCAGGTCCAGCACAGGGGTCTGGGAAGAGCTCCGGGCACTCTGAGCTTCCGCAGTAACTGTGCCTTTGGAATCTAAAGGAAGTGGAAGCTGCAACAGGAATAAAGGGTTTCATTGGGAGCCTTTAATGAGGGCTGGGTCTGCTGAGAGGGAACCTGCCAGAAGGCGCTGCCTCAAATGAGTGGGAGTGTTGTCAGCTGGGAGTCAAGTGGGAGCTTGTCACAGCTGGAATGGGAAGAATGTGCTGGGAAGGGAAAAAGGGCCTGCAAAGTGCAGCCCCAGCCCACGGAGAAGGAGGAAGATGCTTTATTCAGGGCTCCGTGGAGAAGCCGCGGAGGGATTATGCTCTTCTCCAATGACACGGTGTCCTGTTGCAGCATCCAGCTCGAGCAGGAGGAGGGAGGGAGGGCGGGTAAGTGCAGGCAGGCTGGAGCCTGGGCCCTGCTGGAGCTGGGGGCTGTCCAAGGGAAGGAGTTGTGCACGTACAGGAAGCCCAGTTGCAGGATCTCCCGGCTGAGTCGAGTCTGGCTCAGTCCCAGCATTGCAATGGCTCAAGGCCTTCAGGTTTAGTTTCACCAGGGACCGTAGAACTGAGCCTGTTCCCCCCCGGTGTCAGTGCAGTTGAAATCTGTGGGACCAGCTGTGTGTGTGTCCTGCTGCTATAGAGTCCCCGAGCCCAGTACCAGTGTGAAGCTGGCGGGCTCCCCTGGGCAGGGATCAGCCTGTGTAACTCCACACAAATGAGGAACCAGGCCTGGACCCCAGGTGTGAGCTGATGGAAGTGTCCCTGGGTTGGGAGCCCACCTGTCTCGGGGAATAGCACCCACTGCAAGGCAGCAGGAGTGGGCCTGGCACCCTCTGTCACAGGGAGAGGCCAAACCACTGCTCCAGGCTTTTCTCCATCCCAGGTAACGGCACAAGGAAACTAAATCTGGAAAGAAAACCTCTTCCCAGCCAGGGAAGGTTATAACAGGTGAGAGGCAGCTCCTTCTTGCAGAGCTTGGGATGAGGAGCTGTTACGGTGTTTGCAGCCCTGTCTCTCTTGCTGGGAGGGGTCTCTTCTCCTCAGCAGCAAGGAGGCATTGGGGATCAGCCCACATTCCTGCAGGCTCCTGGAGTTGTCTGTGTACAGCCTCTGGGGAAAGGTGCTGATGATCTCATACGACTCGGAGTCTCCGCCCCTAGGAAAGAACAGCACAATCTTTCCTACTCACAGGGTCCCCCAAGGTTTTGCTGAGATGCTCTGGCTGATCCAGCTGTGGTTATGCAAGAGCAGAAAAAAGGGCTCCCAGCCCTCTGTAGCCAGCCAGGCACGGAGCAGCTGTTCCAGCTGCACAGCTGCAGGGGGAAGGAGGCTTGTGCATCCCGACAGCACTGAGCTCATCCTGGGCTCAGACCAAGGCCAGGGCCCTGGCCTGCAACAGCAGTGGGAAGAGGGGAGGGCAAAAGGGGCCCTCGGCCATCTGGAACTGTTCCTGAAGGGCTCAGTGAGCCCTCGGGCAGCATTAAAAAGGTTGGGATATTGAGATGGCTGAGCAAAGAGGGTGTTGATCCAGCAGCTCGGCTTCCAGGCTGCACCAGCACCTTGGGAATGGTGGCACTAGTCATGGGAGTGCTGCTGAGCAAAGGCAGTGATGACCCGGGTCTGATGGCAATTCTGGGAGGGCAGAAGAGGTTTATCTCTGCTGCTGCATGGCAAAGGTGGGTATGAAACACTCTGAGCTATGTGGGACCCCAGCAGTGCTGCCGGGAGAGCATCTAGTGAGGGAGCTACAGGGGCAGAGGGCTGAGCTGTGACCCAGCTCAGGCTGATGTTTGAAGATCCAGGGCCTTCAGCAGCCACCAGGGGCCCTTCCCTGGGACCCTACAGAGCCAGGCAAGGACAGGAGGAAGTGCTGAGCACACCTGATGCGGGCGAGGTGCTGGCGCAGGTCCCCGATGGTGTCGGTGAAGAGCATCCTCACAACGTGCGTGTGCTCCCCGCTCTCGCACCTGACACGGAGAGTGCAGACTCCAGGGGCAGGAGCTTCAGCCTCTTCAGTCATCTTCACCCTGGTTACAAAACCCTGTCAGCCAAGGAGTGAGCTCCACTCAGCGGGCAGAACCTCCAGGATGTGCTGGTGAGGTCCAAACAGGGGAGAGGGAATGTTCTAGAGATGAACGAGGCCCCACCTGACTTCAGGCAAACAGACCAACCTGCTGCCCAAACTGCTGCTTTGCTTTCCCTGCCTGAAGGTGCCTTGAAGAGGGTTGTTGACCTTTTTTAACTTTTCCATTTCAAATCAGGGCTGTCTAGTAAGTGCTTCGCCCTACTTCTCTGATTAAAAATAATCTGCTTGGTTTTTTTTTCATTAGCTATTTGGGTCTTGGCTTGCCAGAAGACTGAGTGGAAAAGTGCTGTTAGTGAGACCTCCCACTTGGGCATGAGTTTCTTGGAGGGATTCCCCCATTTAACGTGACTGCAGACAGCTTTTTCAATGGTTTTGAACTCTTAGGCCTTGGCTTGTTGGGAAAACTATTTCAAAGAAATAAGTGACATTTTGAACAACAGAAACTTTTTGTTAGAGATGCAGGTTTGCCATGAGAAATTCAGTGGTCTTCCCAAATGACCAAACTTGGCCTTTTTTTCTAATTGTTTCTAAGGTCTAAAAGGGGAAAGTCCATTTACTTCCTCAGCTGAACCCCCTGAAATGGGGGGGTGATGCAGTGATGAAATAGGAGGAGGAGATCCTGACAGGGGCTGTACCTGTACCTCTCCAGGGCAGCCAGCTTGGGTGTCTCCACCAGGGTCTCTTTGCTGCTCTGCACCCCATCAGAACCCTGAAACCAAACCAGGTGAGTGTCACCACTGCCCAGAGAGCAGCCGGTGCCAGGACGGCCCAGAGGCAGGTGCCAAAGTGCCACGTGTGTTCTGGTGGAGCCTCTGTGGGAGGAGGAGATCACGTGGAGCTAAGAGAGGCCCAGGGAGGGGATGCTGGTGCTGTGCAGGGTGCTGAGCCCAAGGAATCACTGCTGCCCCTCTCCTGTGGGTGGCTGGGGGTCCTCTCGTACCTGCTGTGCTGCTCCAGTTGAGCCCTGGACACCAACCACTCCTCCTCCATGTTCCAGGGGCTTGGGAAGCTCGTTGGGAAACTGCTCCAAGGAGGCTTTGGGACCTGCCAGAGCAGAGGGGAGATGTGTCCATGTGTGACCTTCTTGACAGACATTTTGACCCCAGAATAGCCTGATTTGGTGAAAGGAGAGCGCGCAGCAGCCGACAGGGAGAGCTCTCACCACCCCCAGCGAGGCTGAGACTCGCTCTCGGGTTCCTCCCTTCAAGTTTGTCCCACTTTCTGGCCCACTAAATGTCTGATTGTCAACATCAACAGTGAGAACTGCACAGCCTGTTCAGCACAGCTGGGATGCACAGTGGGTAGAAACCTGGATAGCTCTGCTGTGAAAACCTGAAACTATCACCATTTTTTACAGCCTTGGCCATTTCACCTTGTATTTGTTGGTGTCTACTTCTTTTTGTTTGGAAAATTATTTTTTTTGTTGTTGCTACTTAGATAAAGGGAATATTTAGCAAAGCTTCTGTTTGGGAATAGCCTTGAGATGGATGAGCAAGCAGTTCAGCTGTAGGTAACCAGGCAGCTGTTGCTGATGGGAGATGCACATACTGGGTCATTTAGTGATGCACACACAAACCCACTGAGACTGACTGAGTCTGACTTCCCAACCCTGACAGGTATTGCTTAGGCAGACTGTGAGAGTCTAGAAGCAAAATGAGGTATCTGTGGCCTGACCTTATGTCCCATATTCTGTTATGAAAGTCTGAAGAGAAACTGTCCCATATTCAGTACAGTTACGGTTGATGTGGCTTGAAGATATCTGCATTTATGGAATGAGGCTATGGGAGAGCAGAGGTTTTTTTGCCAGCAAATCCCTCCCTCAGCCTTTGATGGTGGTAAAGGTGAAGGTAGAAGGAGCTTGGCCTTTTGGAAGCGTGCAGGGCAGATATGTTTTGGAAAGCTGCTGAATTTCTGGTAATTTATTACTCATCACAGCTCTTTCTTTAGGAGATGAATCATGAGAGGACACTGTGTGTGCTGCCTGGCTCCCAGCTCCTGAAGCAACACCAAGCCCTGATCCACAAGTGTTGCTTTCCTCGCTGAGACAACCCCCAACACCCCTCCTTCCTGCTGCACTGCCCTGGTAAGGTTTAGAAGTTCTCCCCTTTGAAAATTAGCTGCATTTTTGAGGCAGGCTTAAGATTTTACCTGGGATCTCAGTGGTTTCCTGCACTTGGTTTGATTCTGAATGACCAACTATTTGGCCATGGCCAGGAAAACTCCTTGGAAGGTCCCTCTCCTCAAATACCACGTCCCTTCTGTCAGTGACCTGTTGAATTAAGTCCAACTGCCATAAGCAAATCTGACTGTTGCACAAGCTTCTCTTGCTGCATCAGAGCACGATAAACCACAGCAATGACACCCAACAATCATAAACCCCAAACAAAACCAACGATGCACAGGTTAAAAGGAACCTCAGCCCCAAGAGCTTTGCACAACCCTCCTTCCATGTGGCTTTCTAACTTCCACAGCTCCCAGCTCACTCCAGCTGGACTGACCTTGTCTTGCCCCTGCAGCTGTGCCCTGGTTTCTTCGTGGCAGTGGGTAGGTCCAGCCTCTGGCTGTTCCTTCTTACATTTCAGATGCACTCAAAGCCCTAGATTCGAGTCCTCCGAGGCTTTCTGCCTGCAAATGTGGCCTTGACTCTTTGCCATTTCTAAGAAATCAAAAAGCAGGGCCCAAAAGAACCTCAGGTGGCCAAAACCATTTAAGGTGTGCAAAATAAACTCTCATGACATCCTCTTTGAGAGACACTTGTTCAATCTGGCTTTAAAAGCTTTTCCAGGGGAACCATTTGAGAACTTTTTTTTTTCCCTTTGGGTGACACAGCTCTTCAGATGCTGCACGTGTTACTTCTCTTACAGAGCCTGCTGTGCTCTTAGAAGCCTTGTTCCAAGCCAAGATTCACTGAGGCAGAGAAACCCTTCAGTGCTGACGCAGAAACACTCACTCACTTCCTCTAACGGCTGTAGCAGGTGTGCTCCCCACTACCCCTTCCCTCAGACACATCTGCACAGGCATCACAAACCTCAAACTCCATCCAGCAGAGTGATGAAAGAAACCTGAACAGTTTTCTTGGGAAGCAAGAGAGCAGTTTCTCCCCAAAAAGCTGGTGAAAAGGGTTTGGCACTTACCTGCAAAGGGACGCCATCGGGGTAGCGCTGCTGCAGCTCTGAAGGGAAATACCCATCCATGATGTCCTGCAGGCATTGCTGAAACAACATGAGAGCTCATGGTCACACCACAGACTTTCTGTTTAGCTCAGGACTGATCTTTCTGCTGGGCTGCTCCTATTTGTGGTGTTATGGCCGTGCGGAGAAGTCGGAGGCACAGAATCTCACCTCTAAAAATTACTGCACAGAGACATACAGGCCTTTCAAGGCCCTGTGGGAACGTGAGGTGAGGAGCTGGGCTCCTTTTTAGGACTGAGATGAGCTCAAAAGCCTTATTGCCTTTCCTGGGGCTTAGTGAAGGATGGCAGGATGGCTCTAATTCCCTTCCAGACCTTTCCGTACCTGTGTGGATGGGTCCTGGTAGGGCCGGAAGGCTCCGTTGCACATGACGATCCCATTTTGGTACAGGGTGAGAGGGATGGGTTCTGGCTGCCTCAGCCGAGCCCCCTGGAGTGTGTGCTTGATTTGAGGACTGCCTTCTCCAGCCAGGAGGTTCAAATATTTAACGTTCTCCAAGATTAAATCAAAATCAACCTGGTATTTGGAAACGACTCCTTCACCTGTGGCAGAGAGATCGGAGTTACAGGGGGAAAGGGGTGGCAGCAGAGCAGTTTTATCTGTATGAATCTGAGGTGTGTTTTGAGCCCTGACATTTTCACATGTTTGCAGAGTGTGGTGCAACACTTGTGCTGTGGTGCAGCGCTGCCAGGTCCACCCGGGTGTGGGCTAAACCACAAGGGCAGGGCAGAGGGTGCCAACTCACAGGGCTCCACGCTCAACCCCTTGCCCTGTTTATCGCTTCAGAAGTGTTGTGTTGTCCCTGCACAGTGCACGGGGAGGAATTTCACTAGTTGGATTAGCTAGATCGGATCAATGGATCAGGGCAGAGGTGCTGAAGAGGTGTCAGTGTAAACACAGGCAGCTGCCTGCATCAGCAGGTTGGGCAGGGACGCTGTGAGGACGTTTGTCTGGGTGCTTGAAGGTGGCAGGGTGAAGCAGTGAAAAGGTTGTGATGGGGCAGAGGAATGAAATCAGAAGAGGAAATGAAAGAAAAGATGTAGATTGAGCTAAAGCCCTTTGTATTGTTGTTCTGCTTTTTTATGATTTGCTAAAGGAGGATGGGGAAATGCCCTTAAAAAGGGTCAGTGAGCTGATATCAAAACTATTTCTACTGATTTCCATCTGTCCGTCCCCTCCTGTATCTCAGGGTGGGGAGGTCTAGTTAGCTAATATTTGCCTGGTGGTTAGGAGGCAGCATTACCTCTACAGCCCAAGTATTCTTCCTTTTTTTCCTCTGTTACCACTTCCTAAGAAGCCATTGCCAAACATGCTTGGACCCCACACAGCAGAGTCAGGTCTCAATTAAACCGCTCACGTGGTAGTTGGGAGGAAAGGCAAACAATACTCCCTGGTGGAGCCAGACAATGTGGGTATGTTACTACAAGTGCTATGTACACAAAGCACCTGATTCCGCTTTCCACCCACTTTACGTCAATATTATTAAAGCAATGAAGCTTCAAACAGTGCAGGGTATGTGAATTCTGCAGGAAACAGCTGCTGTGAGGTCCTCCCAAAGGGCTGAGCCATCAGGTTCTCTCCTGAAGAGCTTACAAAATATGGATGTATAAAATTAAACCTCCTTCCTGGCTTAGCTCCTGCTAGGTCACTCCATGTCCCCGTCCCTGGGAGGGATTGATGTGAAGATCTCGGCACGGGATCACAAATTCTGAAGGCCCAGATCCTGGGTCTTTGGTGCTTACCTGCTCCACCTTCTCTAAGCAGGCAGTGGGAGCTGGGATAGCTGCTTCAGCCAGGGGTGCTGGTGTTTTACCTGGCTTCCAGAGGCTCCTTGGTAGCAGCTCCCCTTCATCCCCGAGAGATTCTGTGTCTTCCAGCTGATCCTGTGTCTCTCCAACCCAAATCAGACCGTAGTCATTCAGAAACCGCTGAGAGGGGAAAGTACAAGAGCAGAGCTTCAGAAAACTAGAAGTGGTAGCCTGAGTGTGGTCAGTTGTGACTGTGAGAAGCAGAAAGGGTGGTAAAAGAGGTTTGTCTTGGGGGCTCCTTGGCCCAGACAGACTCACTGGCAGGGCAGTAGTAGCAGCTCCACTAGTAATAGGCAAAAGGGAGGAGGAAAGCATTTGTAGTGACAGTGTAATCTCTCAAGACTGTAGGAGCCACAAGGAATATTTCTACAGTCCTGGAAATCAAAATGATGAGGTTTGCAGGAGGCACAGATGTCTGTGTGTTTAAAAAGCCTCCTCCTGCCCTGTTGCTGACATCCAACCTGCTCTCTCTTTCCAGACTGAGGTGAAGAATTGTGATGACCAAAGTGGCAGCTCGGAAAAGGCCAAGCAGCCTGGGACTGCAGCACTCTCAAGGTGAAGGTGCAGATGGCTGAGGGCAAGTGAGGTTGGTGTCTCACCTCCATCTCGCAGACCTGGGTCTGCAGCTGAAGGCACCTCGCTTCCAGCTCTCCCAGGGTGGATGAGTCAGGAGCACCTGCAAAAGAAGAGCTGATGTTTCTGTGCACAGCCTTAAAGAAGAGCTGTAGATAAAACCTGTCACGCAGCACAGACCCCCAGCAGCACCCTGCCTGCACTGTGAGTGACCTCAAGCGTGACACAGGAGCTGAACATGAGCTTTGAGTGCTGGACTCTGACAATTCAGCCTGCAGTGGTTTGACAAGGATGCTGACAGACCAGGAGATAGCTGTGAATGACACTGGCCAAGTTTTACGGTGCAGGAAGCTGATGTGAGTGGTGCTGTTGGCAATTATGCAATGAAAACTGCTTGGCTTCCTCAGCCCGTTAAAAAAAATGAGCAGGTGTCCACTAAAGCTGGGTCCAGAAATCTTGGCTGAGTGGCAGCACAACGCGTGGTGAGGCACAAACCACACATGATTGTGGTTTGACAGGCACAGTCGTGTTTTTTCACTCAGGAAATGGAGAATTTACCACAGCTTTGCACTAACAGTTCAGCCATTGCAGAAAACGTGTGTGGGCTCAGCTGGAGAGCTGCTGGATTCCGAGGAACTGAATAGGGGAAAAGACTTTTGGTGACTCACTTAAGTCTGGGTTCAATTTAGAGTTAGGCTGCCTTGCAGGACAAGTGAGCCTGGACCTGTTGGAGACTCCAAGCAGATTTTTGGTTTCTCTCAGCTGTAGCTGTTTTCCTGCCTGTTTGAACTCTGCAGTGTTTACCGATTTTTGGGTGTTTTTTTTTCTCCTGGCCATCCTCGGGTGTCTGGGTGGTTGGTTTACACTCATGGAAACTTAGTAACCCACAGAAAATAGGCCAGGAAATGATGATTTGCGCTGCACCAGAAAAAGCCGAGTAACAGATGCGAGTTAAAGTGCAGATCTGCTTTAGGAAATGGCACCAGCGTGGCTGGTACCTCTCACCAAAGAGGCTCCTGGGCTTGGGAGCCAAGGACAGCTCAGGGAGAAGCTCTTTTGCAGCACCAGGAGGTCTGTTGCCCTCCCAGAGGTGCCAAAGGTCGACCAAGTTTTACCTTCCCCTTCCTGAAGAGTCTTTATCTTCTCCTCGAGTTCAGCAATCCTCCTGTCCTGCAGGGACAGAACAAATAATGACCTCACTCAGTTCCTGGGCCTCAGGGCCTGGAGGCACAGTTGGCACAATTAGTCCTGGGTGAGTCTGGTGCAGGTACTCCCACCCCACTCAGAGACAGGCAAAACAAGGGTCAGAAGGGCTGAATCACCTCACAAACACCTTATTTAGGCTCAAGTGAGGGGTGGGATAAATACAGAACTCCAGGAACAGGCGACCTATCTCCCAGTCCTCCATCTGCACAGGCTCCTGTGCTTCCTGCTGAGGGGCTGATCTGGAGACTAAAGCAGCATCTCTGCAGCCACTTCTTCAAAAATGAAACAAAACAGGGTATTAATTCTAAGCTTTTAAAGGGTATTTATTAAAGGGTATCTATTCCATTCAGTAATGCAGAGAGGTCTGCTCTGGGATGACTCTGCTGTGGGAGCAGCTGCTGTTTCAGAAAACAAAAGGAAGGGGGAAAAATAAAAGGTCTGAAGCCAAAGAGCTGCTGATATTAGTGCCAGGGTGCTGGGAGTCACTGCTGTAATCCCCTCTCCCGCCCCAAGGCCTGATCCAATTGCTCTGTTGCTTTGCAAAGGCTGGTTTGGGTAATTAACAGAGCAAGCCACAGATTAACTTCTTTTGGCCCAAACAAGGTCTGAGCAGGTGGAACTGCTGTGGCTTCAACCATCAAAGCAAGACACAGAGCAGGCTCAGCCAGGGGGGCTGATTTTTACCTTCAGCTGGATTTCTTGTGCTTGTTTCTCTATTTTTTGTTCCAACAGAGAGATTTTTTGCGTCAGGGAGGGCGTGAGCTCCACCGTGGGGGACACGAGCTCCGTGTCGGTGTGAGCTGCACCTGGAGGCACAAATACCTGTTACCTCTCTGAAATGGGGGGCACACAGGGGGCCCCACACCAGAATTCCTGCTCTGCCACAGCAGGGAGGACGAGGATATTTTTGGGGGGTAAGGGGGTGTCTGTGTCACCAACAGCACGTTGTGTAGGCGAGAGGGGGACCACAGAAATTAGGTCTGGCCTGGGGTGTCCCTGAGAAACTCAGAACCCCCTAATAATTGAGGGACTTTACCCTCCATGTTCCTTTTCAGTGTTGTCCCCTGGAGCAGGAGGGGAGGCTGCCTTGCACTGGATTCCTGGTCCTAGGAGACAGCCTGGCATCTTCTGAGAAGGGGCACAGAGAGCATGGAAGGAAGAAAAACAGGTCAGTGTTTGGATACAACTTCTCCAAAAGCAGGGAAAGAAATATCAGGCTTGTGCTGAAGGGAAAGCAGGTGGCCTGGGCATTCAGTCCCATGAGTATTGCCAAATTCCTGAGCGTGTGTGGGCACTTGATATGAGACAGGAAGATGGGAAGGTAGAATCAGAAACAGCAAACTTTACTGGGAGTGAAACGTGAGGGTTTGCTCTGAAACCTGGTGGGGAGGATGTGACCTAAAGTGGAACTGGAAAAATAGGTGACATCTTGTTGTGCTCTAGGGCTGGTTGAGGATGTAGAAGCCTGTTGATTCTTATCTGATTTTGGACAGTTGTAGGAGAGAGAGAGCAGAGAGAGCTGCAAAATATGTAGGGTGGTAAGAACTGCCTCGCCTGTGAAGGCAATGAACTTGGACAGCTCTGCCCTTTCAGTAAAAATAAGAGGGGATAACACATAAAAATAAAGCACAGGCTCATTAACTTTGGGGGGGTTTGCTTGATGGGTGAATTTTTAAAAATATAATTGAAAAAACTGTCTAAAAAAGCCCAAACTGTACATTTTTCTCATCACCCCAGCCCGTACACCGGGGCAGGGTGGGCTGTTTGAGGGATCGTGGGCGAAAAGAGGCTCAAAATAACGGCGGTCACCAGGTACCTCCTGGGGGAGGTCACTTTTGGGGG